TAGCGCGAAAAGTGTCCTCGCTGATGAACGTACATGCTGCTCCGGAATTCACCTCAAACCTAATAGGGCGCTGGTGTACCATAATTTCAGTTGTAATCTTCGGTCTCGTTCCGAGGGTCACAACGGCGTTTAAGTTATATAGTGATGATGACGTTAGTGCTGTTCGGCTTGTATCTTGCGTCTGGCCCTCCTGTGCGTCGACATTGTTGTTCCGTTGCACTGAAGTCTTCGGTCCGAGCTGTTTGCGCTTCGAGATGCATGTCCTTTCAATGTGTCCCAGTTTTTGGCAAACATTGCAAGTCGCTGTCTTGTATCGACATACCTGGGGGTCGTGCATGTCGTCACATCGCCAACAGCGCTGTGTCTTTCTGCTTGATTTCGCCTTAGACGTGGAATGACCTGACTGCTGACTGGTGTGATGCACCGGCTCGACGTTCCGTTGAATATCCCTCTGCTGGTGACCGGCGCTCTCCGTTCGTTGGGCGATGTCGTAGGCTTTGGAGAAGGTGAGACCCGTCTCCGCGAACAGGCGTTGTTGTAGGCCTGCGTCATGCAGTCCGCACACAAAACGGTCACGCAACATAACGTCCAAGCATAGTGGTGTAGTGGGAGCATAGTGGTGTTAGCAGGTGTGGCAGTCGATCCTCCCTCCTGCGCAGTATCTGCAGCTGTCGTGGTCAACGTCCCGAAATTGCAGTCAGCAGCGAGCTTTTTGAGAGCCGCTACGTATTCGGCCACTTTTTCACCTTCCAGTTGGTCTCGCCGTTGGAAGCGGGCTCGACAGTAGACCTCCGATGGCCTTGGGTCATAGTGCTCTTGTAGCGCTGCTACGATGTCGTCGTAGTCAACGACTGCTCGAGTGCGTGGCTGAATCAGGGCACAGACTGTGTCGTATGTCTGCTCCCCACACAGCGTTAGCAGGTTGGCTTCTCTTCATTGCTGCATCAGTGATGTTGTTAGCCTCGAAGTAAAATTGCAGTCTTCCAAACCACGATGACCATGATGAGCCGTTGAATTCGGGTAGCCGATTTGGGAGCCCGTGCGTAGCCATAGCTTGTAGCTTGTCAATATCGTTGCGTAGCGTTGGTCCAAATCCACTTCCTCGTCGCCACTGTTATGTCCGGTGTTGTCGTCGGCCCATAGACGTACGCGTTGGTCGCGGTAGTCCAAAAAGCTCAGACAGCCTCGAACGGGTAAAAACAAGTTTATTCCTATTCGGATGGAGGCGGCGGCCGAACTGCCGTGGGAAACGACGGTGGCTCGTTTGCGCCGAGCGGGGGAAGGGGAGGAGTCAACATCTGGAAGCAGTTTCAGCAACCGGTCCTTCGCTCGTGACACAGGGGTGCTTGGAACACAACACCGTTTAAAAAAGACGTCCTAATACGTGCAGTAATTGGCCAGTCCCCGCACGTGACTCGCGGCGGGCCATGCCATTGGCTAGACTAGCGTCGTCTGTCTGCATCTCTGCGTGGCAACTGTGCGCACACCGTACGCGTCAACGTGTCCGCACGCGAGCAATGATGTCTACACCGTCGCCAAAGTTTGCTACAAAGTACCAATTCAGAACAAAAAGAAAGAGGAAGACTCCGCAAAACTTCCAGAAACGTGCTGCTGTGCCACCACCAGTTCCTGACCATGCGAAGAAGGACGCGCAACTAGAGTCGAGCAGCGCCACCGATGCCGATGTGCTAGGCCTAGTCCCCCCAAAGCGCTCTTGACAACGGCCGCGGCTCTTCGTCGTTGTTTCGGCAGGACACTGCAATGCTGCAGCCAGAAGATTTGCGGCGTATAGACAGTGAAGCTCAAGAAAAACTTAAAAGTACTTGCTTCAGCTCTTGGTACTGCCCAAAAATCTGACCTTTTGGATCGTGATGACGCTGCTGCACAAGCTAGCAATGATCTCGCTACAAGTTTTTTCATTGCTAGTTACGACTCGATGAATGCGCTGTTGGCGTCTACCAGTGTACGATTGGTGGTGGTAACCTCACGGTGCGAAAAAATGAGGGGGATTTTGGCCTTGCTGTGAAGTTTGTTGCCGAATGCGCGATCTGCGGCGATGGTGTGGAAGGATGGAGCTCGCCACGCGTGAGCAGCAAAGCGAAGCTCAGACCCTTTGTCATAAACATCCTTGCAAAGCATGCAATGCAGAGCACCGGAAACGGGCAAACCGCAATGAATGACATTTTTGCGGCGATGAACATTTGAGAGAGAATATGCACAATAAAACGTGGCTGGGGCACTTGAAAACAAAGCTCATCCACGCGGCACTCCGAAGAAGCAGAAAAGTTTATGGGGACATGTGCACAATTAGCACACGATTTGTACTGTTACCTAAAAATAAACAGCCCGGACAACATCGCTAAATCGTACGAAGGCACATGGATGACCTGCGGCCACTCGTCTCGTATCGACGTCAGAACGGTAATTGAGCTGTACACAGGATTTGTGCTCGATTATGTAGTGCTGAGCAATTTCTGTGCTGGGTGTACACGGGCACCAAAAGAAGATGACCCTGTCTACAAGGCCTGGAAGGAGGGACACGCATACCAGAAGAACACGGACAAAAAAGCTGGGGAGATGGAGGTAGAAGCGGCACTGATCCTCTTCCAAAGATCGCGGCAGAAGCATTAGCTGCGGTACGCGACCTTGTTGTCGGATGGCGACAGCCGCGCTTGCTTTGCTCTTCAAGATGCAAAAGTGTATGGATACGTACCCATGGACAAGGACCACACACACAAGAGAATGGTCACAGCACTGCCAAATCGAGTTTACAGGCAGAATTCCTCTGGTACCGAGAGTCTCGGTGGGAAAGGAAAACTGACTGGTGAACGTATCACCAAGCGTATCAGCTACTATGACTGGACTTTGAAATCGTACAAAGGTGATGTCCAGGCCATAATTTATATGTGTGGTTTAACGTGCAAAAACCATCATACGATTATGAGAGACTGCGTAGTGAAGGGCTCCGAAAATTTCGACCACCTGGGGTTCTTTACCGTGCACCCAAATCTGAGCACACGGACCTACAATATTTCCGCCTCCATCGGAAATCCAGCCACTGCATTTGGGATTCGATCCCACGACCTGCGGGTCAGCAGAAGAGTACCTTAGCCACTAGACCACAGCGTCGGGGCATGTCAAGGCCATGCATAAGGCAGTCATGGCCACATACTACCAGATCGCCTCAAACTGATGTCACTTCAAACCGCGCTCTCTGTCCAGAGGGCCCACATTCATAGCGCCACCAAAACGCAGCAAAGGCCAAAGGTGAGCCTGCTCCAAAACACCGCCACAATCTGCCACCCCATGTATGTGAGGCGCTGCTTCCAGTCTATAAGACGTTTGATTAATCACTTCTTCGGCGATGCCTAAGAGGGAAGACCTAAAATAACAACGAGTGTCTCAACTCAATGATTTGGGCACTGGTGCCGAAGGAGAAACATGCATCATTTTTTGCTGTACAAGCTGCTGTGGCAGAGGCTGCAATGAAGTTCAATTCTGGATATGGAAAAGCTTCTACAGCCATACTTCAAGAACTACAGCTAAACCCAGGTTAACAGTTGACCAAGCGCATGAGTGAAAAAGACCGCCACCGTGCGCAATCATGTGCACGCAAGCATGCTTCTGCTGAAAACTTGCAACGTGTGCTAAGAAAACAACACCGAAATGACTCTAAAGCAACAGACTATGTTGTTGGAGGCTGCTGATACCATACCATTTGTGAATATTGTAAATAATTCGTGTTGTTCTGTATTATATATGAGTCTGTTTTGTTTTTTGACACAGAATCTCATCTTTGGTGTTTTTAAAACTTGCCAAAGCGATATCTTGGTCTTTAAGGCACATAGAGCCACAATTCTTGCGGTGGCTTGTAGCTGCATATGTCTGCTACGCAAATGTAGGAACAGATTTTTCAATCTAGCATTTGTAAATTTTTGTTCTTGGTACTAGCTGGATCGCATGATAGAGATATCTGGAGATTAAACTTTAAATCCTATAAAATTGGTAATACATGTTATATTAAAAAAGTAATCCTACATTTGTGTTCATTACACTTCATAATATCCAGCCATATGTCAATATTATTATTCTGGCCAATAATTGCCTTGCCATTGTTCTGATGAACAATATAGGATAAATTTTAATTATCTCCACAACCACCCAACCAATTTCAAAAGTAATTATATTTTTGAAATCAGCTTGAACAACCCTGTCTGGGTTACAATAATCATTGAATTTGGTCAAGAAATGAAAAAACTAGAACCCTCTTCGCCCCTAAAAAAGAGAGCCAAATGCACCTATATGCCTAATATGCCAGTTTTTGTTGCATAAATAAGGTCAGAGCCAAAAATGGTGCTCCCTAGTAGCACACTGGGATGATAGTAGACAGATGATTTTCTGTTTCTTCAGTATTTTCGAGTAGGTTAAACAAAGTTCATTTTCATTCCCTCAATGTCATTTCAGAGCAAGTTTAGAGCAATTACTTACAAAAATTACTGTATGAAGCAACATGAAGCAGCATTTCTCTTCTGGAGCAGTTTGGAGCAATCGGAGCAGCACTTCCATCACTGCTTTTGCAGACAAGGCAATGCATGGCTTGCTGATGCATGCACCTTGTAATACAGAGGTAGCCATTCGATGGATACTCAGCTACCTAAAGTCCAAAGGCAGCTATCACAAGCGGCCAAGAAGCATAGCCTTTGAGGTGGGCAGTTGCAAGCATGATCTCCAGTCACAACCAGTGCAACCACGACTACCAAGTGTAAATATTGTTAACCCATCGTGGACAGTTGATCATGGCATTCAAAGTAGCACTCGATCAGCATATCGGAGTCCAAAATATGTAACGGTGCACCATGGGACACCAAAATCTTCGGTTGTGAATTCAAATTACGCCAATGGCACGAGAGGTGGTGCCGCGAAAGTGTCCGAATAATTGGTTGGTGACTAAAAAGACTAACATAATGTCACACAAGACAGCTGAAGCTGCAAGCACTAACCTCCTCGGCTTCCGACTCCAAGGTCCGCTTTCTCCGAGACGTTTGACAGGGAGACACGGCTTGCATTGCCCACAACCACGTCGTCCAACACCGGCATGAAGTCACTGAGACCTATCGAACAAACAAAAAAGAAGATTAAAAATAGCACAATGCAGTCAGTGTATACAACCGGGGTGAGAGGGCCGAGAATAAATTCGGAGTCGTTTTTGGAGCAGCAAAATATTGATTTTGGATCAGAAGAATCTTGCTTGGGAGCAGTTAGTGGCATTTAATATGTCGTCCTGGGAGCTTGAAATACAGATCTTTAGCAATGTGGGGGTGCCAGTGCACATTTTAATTAGTTTATAATATGCGTAACACTTAAACAGGTTTTAAAGGTCGTTTTTAAACAGATTATTGCCAGGTATGAACTGCATTACCTGTTTACATACCACGTGACCTATCTGGCCCTTGTAACAAACATGTGAAATTATATTTAATAAAAAAGATTTTATTAAAAACTAGGTTTCCCGGAAAAATTTGAAAAGAAAAATGCATCACACTCAAAAAGAAATTAAAAAATTGTGATTGCACTAGACTTAGTTACGTAACAGTGGTCCTTCACTTAAAGAAAAGCCTAACATGATAGCGTCAAGAGCTTTTAACCGAGGACAAAAGCATGCTGCACCGCCGTTCGCGGCCAACTCGTGCAAAACCACCTTCAAGATTGCAGTGCGGGAGCCAAGAAATCTCACGGCACCAACTATCTCCTATAGCATCTGCGTTATGACACTTAGCGATAACCCAATGATACTGATAACGCCTCTCCACACATGTAACCGCGCGTTAATAATACGGCACATTTTGACCAGTTCTTTCTTTTTTCAAAGGCCAAACCCCATAATCTGGAAAATGTTCGCGACAGCGATGAACGACACGACGCAGATTGCCTTTACGCGAACAGTCGCTTGCGTAGGCAAACCTCATTCACGCGACAGCTTCAGTGAGCAAACACCACCGTTGCTTCCATGAGGTCGTCTACTCGTACCAAGAATACCGCGTAATGAGCGGTATGCAATTTAAAAATAAAATATATTGTTGTGTAACGGAACGGAAAGTGTTTACCGTATTTGCTCGCGTAATCCTCGCACTTTTTTTGTCGGAAAACCGATGAAAAGTTGGGGGGTGCGAGAATTACGCGGGGAAAACGTTCTACGAAAACGTACAGAGCGAAAAAGAAAACGAAGTGGCCGCAAATCGGGATTCTCACACCAGCAACTAACAGCAAGCTTTAAGAAGTACTAATTAAAACTTACCTCAACAATAAAAGCAGAAGTTCAACACAAGACAAGATTTAATTGAGACACAAAAAGTGGAAGCAAATAGTCGAGAATTAGAATACCATACGCAAAGCTTGCGGACGTTGCGGGCGTAGCGGTAGCGTTCGTCGCTCAACAGGAGCCCTCAAAAGGTAAGCGTGGGACGTCAGTATTGGGCTGATGGCTATTTAACAGAATTGTCCGCAGTTTTCATATTGAGAAATGATGTTAACCATCAATCCCAGTTTTAGGCACACGGCAGGCCCAACGAGTCTTCATGGCTTTCAGCAGCCATCACCAGTAGCAAACACAGAAACTCGTAGACTCCGAAGGGCCTACCGGCGGCCCTGTTGCCGTTGGTTAGTGCATGATCTATCACTTGCAACTTGAAAGCAGCCGTACTGCTTCAGTATCGCCTCGTAACTTGACAAGGTTACCGACGCAACATACAAAACTTGGCTAAAGTGTTCTAGAAAGGGGTAGTGGGCTGACTGGAGGCCGTGCACTGACGCACTTTATGTCTCACCTGGTAGATGACGCCACCACCACCTGCAATGGAAGCGACGCGATGCTGCTCTCGGCCAACGCAGCGCGAAGGTTAGTTTGCCAGCGCTTCAAGCACAAACTACTCTTGTGCAACCCCTGTTCATAGCCATTTTCGTTGCTTTTCTTCTTTTGCCCGAGCATATTCTTGCTTTGGCCGTCGTTCTGGCGCATGAAGTATCGCTAAACATGAGCGCGTCATCAGCGGGATGCAATATACGCTGTAAACAGCCAGTTTTTTATTGCGCTCTCGCAGTTTTATTGCCTTTAGATAATTGATTTATGAAACCACTTTCTGCTTATGAAGCACGCCGTAGTTGAGGACTCCGGAAATTTTAACGTGCACTGACATCGATTGCCTTTAGATAAAAGAGACTAATGTTTTCATGATCACTAATTTAATAAGTCGCAGAGTGGCATATAAGCGGCTCGCATTTCTCCACCAATATGCTAGCGTTTGTACTCAATAGTAACTTTAGCGAAGTCGTACTCTCGCTAAATAAAACAATATTACTACAAACTTAAGCACCTTACGCGCTCTCAGCTGATATATTCTCCTGGAAAGTGCAAGAAAATGTGTGGTAGTGCACAGAAGGAAAGACCTATCCTAATCATGTCCAAGAAATAAAAGTGAATTTGTAATGAAGGTGTGGAAAAAATATAGACAACAATCGTTCACGGGAATAAGTTAAAAGTTTATTTGGTGGGGCAGCACAGCGACCGTACTCCACAAAAGCCATGCATATCAATCACTTTCATTTTTTTTTCTCAAAGTGAAAGCAGATGGAAAAAGCTCAAATAGCTTGAAGAGGGCCTTGCCCCATTATGTACTTATCAGCGTGTGCAACAAAGAGCATGTCTCCTAAAACAGCCCAATAGATGCTAGAAAAATATTCACAACTACAAATAATCACAAAGAGATGCTAAATATTTTCAATAGCACACCTGGCATAAAAAGTTCACAAAAACACATGAACACTCAACACATATTGTTCACACAATAAGTAAAGACACTGAATCAGAAGAAATACTGAAAATGACAAATAATAGACACATTTCCATTCAAATAACATGCATTTTTATAGAGATCTACAGATGTTCTCGTAGATCATATTAATCGCACTGTTGATGGTACGCCAAGGACCAAAGTCACCATTCACAATTGAATTAAGCAGAGTTGCCACTTAGTCAAGGGTTTATTGCTATAGTATGCGTGGCGAGTGGCAACATACTATTTTGCTTGTTTTTCAAATCTGGCATTCTCTTGTATTTGGGTCAGTGAAACAGAAAAAGAATATTCAGAAAGGATTCATACATCAAGTTTAACCTACACTTGTAAAATCCACACAGGAACACTACTAAAGTTTTAAAAATCTTCTGAAGCAAGCAAAAAATATTTAACAGCAGCGGCTTATCTTTAAGTGCTTTGCTTTTTGGCGTTTGCCTGCTCTGTCTGTATTTAGCCCTCTAATGTAAAAATGAAGTCATGTAACAACATAGAATTGTATTATTTTTGAGACTGCATTGAGACATGGCTTGGGCACCCAACCTCTTGCCAAAGCCTTGCTTTCACAATGGTCAGCACATCTAAAATGCTGTATACATGGAGTTGTTCACAAGAAAAGCAGCCCGTGAACAAGTCTTGAAGCTTCTTTATGAACCGAAATAGGCAAGCACTTCGGTAGAGGAGTCCACCATTGTCACGAAATAGTGTCAACCTTGCAAGCTGAAAGCTTTCGTCTGGGGCAGGCGCGGTAAGTAGTATCAAACAATCTTTACAATTGCTTTTCAAAATGCACTTTCGTGCCACGTAGCCAGCAATGTAAAATATAATTCTCGAGTCGCTCCTCACAACATGCTGGATGTGCTCCTGGGAAGGTATAACCAATGCCTGCGCATTCGGAGAAGAGCTCGGTGCCAAATCCATGCCTGCTGCATTTTGCGATGTGTCTCGTGGGCTACTAACTTCCAAAAGGGAACCTAGCATGCCCTCTTCGCAGTTTCCTTGACTGACACCTTTGACTAAACCATAGAATGACATGCAGTTTACTGTAATCAAAAACTGAGTTGGTGTTGGATGATCATTACTGCCAGAAGATTGCCTGATAATACCGAAAAGGTTTTCCAAAGGATCCTGGCTAGTTTTTGCAGTCATTAGGTATTCAAAGCCAACATTTTCAGTGAGATAGTCAAGCAACTCTAGTGTACTCGAAATGGTCACACGTAGGCCAGCAGCAGTGGAATTGCTCAGAAAGCCTCCTCCACCTTTCGTATGCTGCTCCCATGCTTTGAGGTAGGACAGAAAATCCTGCAGCACTGCTGTTCCTGATGAACACGGTCTGAAGGCTTCAGCAGGGAACCGCGATGTCATCACTCTTATGAGCTGGTGGATTTTGCTGAAATATGCAAAACAGCTGTTTTCATAATTTTGTAGTTTACATTGCATGATGCATTCTTCATAGTTATGAACGGCGCAAAACACACGAGACACAAAATGACGAAAAACACAAGGACGTCATTTTGTGTCTCGTGTGTTTTGCGCCGTTCATAACTATGAACCAAAACCAACTCGCCCAAATGTCGGTGCTAATGATGCATTCTATTAAGATATAATTTTCATTTACAAGTTGGTTATATCAGACATTTCACTACCTAATTTTAACCAGCATATGACAAGAGACGACTCACCTGAAGAACTCTTGTGTTACATCCATCCTTCCAAGTGTTGCTTCCAACTTGTCTTTGTATAGGTGGAAAGCTTGGAGGACTTTTGTCCCAAAAAGCTGGAAGGCATAGCTGACCCTCATCTTCTCAAATCCATTAGGATCCAGGTGACACCGTGTTATGCCCGGCATCACTTTAAGGGTCACGTTGGAGGAGTCTATTTTGTGAGCTTCCCTTACATGTTGCATATCAACCTGCAATGAAATTAAGTGGACCATATTGAAATGCACCTGGTTAAGCTTGGAGATAATGTAAGCATATATGAAATCCAATGTGTGATATGCGTAAAAAACATCGAGACTTACATGACCTGCAGGGGTGTTGAATCCAGACTTCAGCAGCGAGTTCCGTAGGCGTTTGATGAGATGTGGGAAGTCAGATATAAAATATAGGTGCCGTGATGCATCACTAGGGTGTTCAATTTTCAAAGTAGTAGAGTCAGCTGTCGCTTGGATCCCAAGTACTTTCCACATATTTCTATTCCAACTTGCACCATCGCAAGTAATAAAATCCACAAAGAGCCCACTCTTTTCAGCTAGTATGGTTGCTTCAATGACAACTTTGGCGAGTGTGTCACCTTTCATGTTTCCATGTGTAGCAAAGTAACCAATAACTTGACTCCATTTGCCTTGAAATGGGACGAAAAGGATAACCATACCGTGGTCACATGGTACACCTTTGTCCTTAGAAGTTGTAAATGGACCTAAATCCACAAAACCCTCAATTGCACCCGACTTCTTCACTGAAAAATGTTCTGACAGTTTCAGTTCGTCGATGACCAATCCACCGTGTTTCTTCCAAACATCAAGCTCCGCTGTCTTTTCCTTTAGCTGCTTTAGAACTCTCTCACTAAAGCCAAACACAGTGCGGTATGCATGTACATAGCGCTACAGGGTTGATTTACATGGAAGGGCTAGGATGTTATTGCGACGAAGGTGTTCATACAGGCGAGGGCTCTTCATCTTCATGATTAAACAATCTAAAACCCAGCTTTTCGTATAGCGCAACCCATTGGGTTTTACTCTTAAAGATGCAAAGCACTGTCGTACAGCTTCCTGCTGTCTTGCTGGAAGCCTTGCAATCTGTGCTTCTAAAGTTTCTGTTTTTATAGCAGCATTCCTAATTTGCATTTGTTCCAGCTTCTTTTTCACACTTTTCAAGCGAGAAAACAATCTAGTGTTTCTTCTGGCCACAACACGCAACTTCAGCGCTGCATATTGGCAATTCCTTCTTGCTGTTCGCTTCACCCGGGCTCGTCGGATTTGCAGTGCTCGTTTCAAATAGCGGCAGGACACACATTGTGCACCTGAAAGAAAGGTGCAGTGAATTAGGTTGCAATAACTGGCAAGAAATCTTTCGTAGCGACAAGAATTATAGCTGTCTTACTAGTAAAAATGCACATTATAAATATTTTTTTTATCAACCTGGCCAAGACACTTAATGCTACATTTCGTTGCATGTAACCACGTGGTCTTTTAGCTTCTTCGTAAAAAATCGTTCTTCATAGTCTTCGTGAGATATTGCTCCAACGGAAATGCACATACGATCACTTGTTTTCAGCACTTCCTCTGCTGCTGCCTCTGTTTTCACGGTGCCTTCTTTCAACAGGGTACCTCTGATGAACACTTTGCAGTAGCTCGCAATGCGCGACTCAAAAAACATGACCACTTTTTCCGATCGTACTTCATTCTTCGATGTCAACACGGACGTGCAGTACACAATGCCTTTGTGATCTGGAAAGATGTGCTTAGTCCAGTGCGGCGATGGTACCTCAAGACAGCTAAATAACGAGATAGACTTGCGGTCTTCCTGCAGATTTTCTGAAGAAGAAACTTCTACATCGATGGCCAGCTGTTCGTCTTCTGGCCTCGATGCTGCAGCGTCTGGATCCGGAGTATTTACGGCGTTTGTGTGCAACACCGTCGAGTTGCCACTCGTGCACAGCCGGCGCTTCACTGGCGAAGCATGGCTCTCAGACTTCCTTTTTCGAGGCGGCCTTTCTTTCACTGCTTTTTTGGTGAGATACGATGGCAAATTTGGCAAAATAGTGGGAACAGCGTCACTGCTCAACATAGGCCTCCCGCGTGGGATCCGCACTTCTTTACCGCCGATGGTGTGTACATAATCGCGAATTACGTATCGAGGCTCGAAGTGGAGTTCACAAACCGCACTTGCGTCTTCGAGTGGCTTGTCCGCACGGTGTAAATTATTCTCCCACAGTCTTCCGAGTCTCTCATCCCTGGGGACGACAAACAGTGACGGTTTTGGAGCCCCTTTCACGTGAACGTAGCCCGTCTGGCATCTGGGCGCATAACAATGGTTCTGGCGACGTGGTGCCATTCCGCACTAAGTGTCGATGACCGCGAGGTGTTCACTACCAATCTACATTATTCGCAACTATAAGAACTGAAAAATGGAACGTATTGACAAAGCACTGCTCGGCCGTAAACCTGCAGCGACGACGACACACAGCCAACACAGAAGCGGATTGAAAAGGTGAAAATTCCCATGGATGGATGGATATGGCTGTACCCTTTAGATCGGGCGGTGGCTAGCGCCACCAAGCCGTAATACCTAATGAACCAAAAACTATATTTTTTTTCCTTAAAAAAAAAAGAAAAAAAAGAAAAAGAAAAAAGGGAAAAAAAGAAAAAAAAAGAAAGAGTTTGAGGATTCGTACTTTGCAGTGAAGAGTTTAATTTTCACTCGTGCCTTGACTTTAGCCACCAATCAGATAACCTCCTTCTAGTTAAGTCTACCCGCTTAAAGTTTATTTTGCCCTCCCGGTCCCTAAACCCAAGTGCTTTGAAAAACTCTGCGCCATCATCCTGAACTATAGGGTGAAGCCCTTTACAGAACATTATCAAGTGTTCGGCAGTTTCTTCTTCCTCTCCACACGCACTGCATACTGTGTCTACCCCTTCGTATTTGGCCCGATATGTCTTGGTTCGCAGTACTCCCGTTCTGGCCTTAAACAGTAGAGAACTACCCCGAGTATTATCATAGATCCTTTCCTTGGCAATTTCCTGCTTAAACGTTCGATAGATCTCTAGTGCGGACTTCTTTATCATGCCCATTCTCCACATGTCAGTCTCCGTTTCCTTCACTTTCTTCTTAACCGATAGTTCTTTTTGGTTTGGCCACCTGCTGTTTTCTAAGTATTTACCAGTCAACTTCCTGGTTCGCTTCCTCCATTTTGTATCGACATTCTTCCTGTACAAGTAGCTGAAAACCTTCCTAGCCCAACGCTCTTCCCCCATTTCTCTCAATCGCTTCTCAAATTTTATCTTGCTGCTAGCTTCCCTGCCCTCAAATGATGCCCATCCCATATCACCTTGTACTCCCTGATTTGGTGTATTCCCGTGAGCTCCTAAAGCAAGCCTACCTATTCCACGTTGCTTAATTTCTAATCTTGCTTGAACTTCTGATCTCATGCACAAGACCGCATTGCCGAACGTCAGCCCAGGAACCATGACCCCTTTCCATATTCCTCTCACAACATCATACCTATTGTAATTCCACAGTGCCCTATTTTTCATGACTGCTGCATTCCTGTTACCTTTAGTCGTCGCGTGAACGCCCTGTTTCGTCGCTCATGGCATCGCTAATTGCTGTCGCGTGCATTTCCGCCTTTATGGGGTTTGGCCTTATCGTAGGTCATCACCGTCGATGTAGAACTCCAGATAATACATCAACTTGTGATTGCCGCTCCGCAACTCGCAAAAAGTGCTCGCGCAGCGCAGGTAAGTAATTCGTGCCCACGCAAAAAAACTGCCGAACGTACACAGGCCGGTTTTATTTCACAAGAAGAAAAGAAAGAAAACGAAGTCACACTGCCACCGACCAAAACACCATTCGAGCTAAGCCTAAAAGCATAGCCCAGACCCTGCACGCATGCAGCGATGCTTTTTAAAGCGCACGTTGAGAGTTTAGGTTACAAAACGGAGCAGTGGCAAATCATGAAAACTGTGCCACGTGATCGCCGTTGCATCATGAGTCAGGAATAAAGTGCCGAGGTGCTCGTTCATATTTGAAATGGTTTGAAAGTGCGTTCTGTCACCACAGCTTCACAAATAACCGAATGCTTCTCTCTACCTGCAGACACCGATGCGCGGAATTTGCGTGTGATGGCCTTTGTATATGCAAAATGCAACGAGAACTCGCTTCTCTAAATAAGTTAGCAGCTACTGGGCGTAAACCGGGAATAGGCTGCATGCGCTCTGTCGCTCATGGAAGTAATTTTGAGAGCCCACGTGCACGCGCCAGAGCATGCAGGAGACGCGTCGCATGCAAATGACTCCACAATTACAGTTACTCACTCATGGCAAATGTACACTTCTAGGTGACCACATGAAGCAGCATCAACATGAAAACCGCAGCGACTGTAGGAACGCACTAGGCACAACAAAAAAACCGGGAGTCAATCCCACTATGCTCGCCACTCGACTATGGTTTTCAAAAAGCGACATGGGAACCAGAACACACAGCACTGCTGTGTGTTCTGAGCGCCGGGCTAGTAGAAGCAGCAAGCTCTATGCACGGCAGCCCATTTTCGCGGGGTCACATATATTTACAACAGTTTAGAGAAGATTATGGCGGCACCATGGGAAACCTTCGTCACCAGAAAAATAAAAAAAGAAACGCAATTGGGCACGTTTTATCAGTCAACTCAGCCTTTTTCCCACTGAACCTGAGGTTGGCATGAAAAATCTAGCTTTCGAGGCTGTTTTGAAGTAGTTGAGCGCAATTTTCATAATGTTTATGCTTTTGGAGTAGCTTGGCAGAAAACGGAAATGTATCAAAAATGCGCAATATGCACAGCTGCCTCACCCCTGATACAGTCAAACCCCTTTATGTGAGACACTGATGTAACAGACAAATGGGTATATTAAACACTAGTATGCTTACATTGAAACAGGTGTTGGCGAAAAAACGTATACATGGTACCCAGCTTATACGAGACGTTTCATATAAAGACAATAACTGCTCCCCAGTGCATGTCTCTTATAACTGGGTTTAACTGTACTATAATTGGAGTCTGTGATGCTAGACACTACTACAGTGTACAACCACGACTTTAATACTATCAGAACTAGCAGTAACCCAGATGACACCCCACCAGTAATGATAGTCATAAAAGCTTTGGAGAGCATGCAAAGAGGCAAAGCTGCTGGTGAGGATCAGGTAACATCAGATCTGCTGAAAGATGGAGGACAGATTGTGTTAGAAAAACTAGCCAGCCTGTTTACGAGGTGTCTCCTGACGGAAAGAGTACCAGAGTCTTGGAAGAACGCTAACATCATCTTAATACATAAGAAAGGAGATGACAAGGACTTGAAGAATTACAGGCCAATTAGCTTGCTCTCTATAGTATACAAGCTATTTAAAAAAGTAATAGCTAACAGAGTAAAGAAAACATTAGAATTCAATCAACCAAAGGAACAAGCAGGATTTCGAACAGGCTACTCAACAA